GTGGTAAACCGCAAATAAATTTATTCCTAATCAATATCTTGTATCAATAGTTTTTTTCCAATAACTTAGCAAAAAAGGCGAAGCTAACCTAGTGTTAGGCTGGTTGTCTAGCCTGACAGAAATCATAGAATTATAGGTTAGTGGGGATTTATTGATTTCAAGCTGATATCACGAACTGAAATCGGGTGGAGAACAGAAGTAGGAAAATGTGTGCTGTTGGATTCAAACGCCCTGGATCAACTGAACCATGCTCACCGTGAAACCTGAAGGTTGTGAGTTAGATCTCTGGTGGATTCATTGGTGCGCACTGCTGAGGAGTCCTATACTAGGAAGAGACAGCTGTCCACTATCCTCAGGTTTCCAATTTTTCCCCAAACGATGTCAGTCCATGAAGATTACAAACCGAAAGTTTTAATTCCGATTATTTCTCTGAAGACTCAAGTCAGACTTCCATACAAAACTTGACTTACGTAAATATAAACTATATCTAATGTCAATCTTTTACTCAATACCCAGTATTTGCAATATTATATTTTTATTCTTGAAATATTACACATTGAGGGTGTAAAATAAAAGGTCTAAGAAGTATCTACCAATCGATTTATTCTTAACACCTTTAAAGTTAGAGGAATCTAACAACAGTTATTGTGAAATGGGTTTTTTTCATAGTATACGTGTTAATATAATTTAGGTAACTAGGTTCTTTAGGATAAGAAGGATCATGGATTTAGGTCATACGGTATAAAGTCTATCCTACCACAGAGAAAAAGGGAAACTCCGTCATCATACTGTTAAAAGGTTAAATGAGCTGGTCAATCTCAAGTGTAAAAGTGCATGTGAACGGATGAAGTTGGATTTTTATAAATCTTGCATTTCTGATCACATGCCCCCTGAAAAAACTTATTCAAACTTTACGTTCCAGCAAGTTATAACCAAATATTCCAAACCTTTTTCGACTTTCCAAATCTCATGTGGAAAACTGTAGTGAAAAGCTCATTAAATTAACTGAACATCATGTGCATGAATCATCTGTATTGTCAGAAATTTCTTCAGTTTATCACATCAAGTTTATTAATTTTCGCAACTCAATTATAATAAAAGCAAAGGAAAATATGACGACATAGTTAAACAAATCTCAGATCCCCAGCAACCATCTGAATTCATTCACAGTTAATCCAGACAACTGTGTGATGAATTTATCATCCGTTTAGCAATCTGTTCTTGATAAAGGGGTATTCTCTCTCTCTCTCTTTTCTGTCCCTCGAATATTCTGGTTTAACGACCGATGCCCAATTCGAAGACCTATATAATCAACTAAGCTTGCTCATTCCAACTTCTCCAGAGAATCAGAATTGGCTAAGAGCTAAATTAGTAGATATCGCTCATAAGTTTCATAATCTTGATCCAAAACAGGAGAGTATCTTGAAGCGTGAGCATTTAAAGCGTTGAAAGGATTACGAAAAAACTATGATATTTTTATAGTAAAACCTGTTAGAGGAACGCTTGTGGTCATTATGGGCAGGCCTGATTACAAAAGTAAGATATTATCCATTCTTAGTGATGAAAGCAAATTTATGTCAGATATCTCCTGTGAGGAAATGCGTAAACTGAAAGGAAGAGTTAACTTCTAGCTAGTGAAAATGCTCAGCATGAATTTAATTGTCTAAAATCTATGGGATCCGAATATCCACATTTATATGGGTTACCTAAAACTCATAAACCTGACAGTCCGCTACGTCCAATATTGTCTATGTGTCGATCACCCACATATAATCTAGCTAAATGATCAGCACAGTTCTTGAGTCCTGTCAGAAGCCATTTATGCAAGTCATCACTGAAAGATACATATGACCTTACTGACTGTTTAAATGGCATTAATATCATGGATGAATGTAAACTCTTTATTTACTAATGTGCAGCTGGTAAAAACAATTTATATTTCACGTGACTATATACATTCCTTGTCGCTCTTGATTTTTAAGAGACATTATTATTATTATTATTATTATTATTATTATTATTATTATTATTATGTACTGACAAAGTTCAATTCACATTCGAAGGTGAATACTTCCGACAGATGGATGGCTTCATGTTGAGTAGTCCATTAGGATTGTTGCTACTGTATGTAAACATGTCACATATTGAAAACACGGTTGACGATCTCATCTGAAGAGTTGCCCTTTGTAAGATGTATTTCGATTATATAGTCATTATATTTGAAAATCCTGACGATGAGGTGTGTTTACTTGAGAAGATAAACATCGCTTAAAACCACGTTAGCTTTACTGCGACCAAGAGATGAACAGCCAGTGACCATTCTTAGACATAATGCTTAGTCGACAGGGGGACAGCTCATTCAGAAGGTCGATGTATAGAAAACCTACACGGACAGGTCAAAATCTTAGTTTCTATAGCTGTTTCCCAGTTCAATATAAACGCGATTTAGTTAGGCGCTTATTAAATAAGATAAACAGCTTTACACCGATGACGCGAAGGAGGAAGAAACCAATTTACTGACGACAACAGTGATATGCAATGGTTACCCGTTGAAATTTATCAGCGTGCGCAAAAGTTAAGTTGCACTGAAAAGTATGCAGCATTCTGTTCCTAAGAAAAATCTCATCTCATTCACACTGCTTTATTGTGAGAAAAAGGCTTAGATCAGCCAAGGTCATCAGTGTAGAAAAGATAAAGTCCATGTTACAACATAAACCGAAACAACACAGAAGAGATGACATCAGATCCCACTTGTTTATTAGTTTACATTCATATGCGGACACACTCGTAGGGAAGAGTAATTGTGATACGCACTTAAGGGTGATTAAACATATACCTTAGTAGCTTCAAAAACAAATGACCTCAACAGTGCCAATAAGTGCAGGTGGTTAACGCTCATCTTCATCTATTGCTAAACATACTAAAAACTAGTCACAGGGTAGATATGAAAACAGTTTTTAAAGTACTACATAAAATTGGTCAGGGCCGAATGCTTAAATTTATCAAAGTTCTTACAATCCGTAAATTCAAACCCCCTTTATGCATATAAAAACAATTCGTACTCACGTTGAACCTACCTTGGTAGTGTTGATTTTAATTTTCATACGAGGAGTGATGCGATTTAGATTTTTTTCCTGCCCTCACTTTTCTCATATGCCCTATTGACTTAACTAACCCTTTTCATCAATTTTCATGTCCATAGTCCGACAAGTCCATGCGTGATTCTAAATGAATAACACTAATACGTCGCATGTTTCAGATAATCTTCGTCTTCTCACTACGCCGTTTACATTCATCAAAGAGGCCACTTGCTTCACAAATATGATCTTAGAGGTAAAACTTTGGCTCCACTTTACTTCATAATAATAATACTAACCGTCACTTTATTATACAAACTAACAATTCATTCAATATAATCGCAGCGTGTTTAGAAAATCAAAACAATATGTTTCTGAACGTCTCGCTTTATAAGCCACTGCTTCTTCCGCAGAAGAACGATTCAGTTAAGACAGGCGCTTAACTTCCCCCAGAATATTCGTAACAACTATCGTCTGAATGTTTATAATCTTATTAAAAACTATCAATCCAGTTAGTAAGTTGTTTCAACTTCTGAACACTGTCCAAAATTATGTGGTTGATTCATTTCAAGTTGATATTCACCAGGGACTGACACTAGTTGGAGAAACATTGGAAATATGGGAGCACTGGATAGCTATTTCGTCCTAGTATGGGACTCCTCGGCAGTGCGCAGCCACGACTCTACTGGGAATCAAACCTGGGACCTTCAGGTTCCGCTGCCAGCACGTCACTACTGAGTTACCTGGACGGAATTCCATGATGCATATTTTCTACTTCTGTCAGTTCACGAAATAGCGCTACCTCCATTCAATGCCCTCAATGAGTAACTGTGTACATGTTCGACTTGCCTGGCTCCACCGGTCACGACATCTTACTGGAATTTTGGGAACCTCCTCTCGAAGCTACTCACCAATCAGCACTAGATTAATTCAATTTGGAGGTTTTGTGGAGACTAAATGATTTCAGGTTAGTATTCGTTGTGGAATGACATTAGTCTGAGGAGTATTGGAAATCTGGAGACTCTATACAGCTGCTTCACCGCAGTACGTGACTCCTCAGAAGTGCGCAATGTGACCCCACCAGGGGTCGGACCCAGGACCCTTAGGTTCTGCGGCCAACACGTTACCATTTTGATTGATAATTAATCTCTCCTGAACAGACAAGAGAGGTTAATTAAATTATTTCAGGCAATAAGAAACAACTTTTATGTCAGATTAATAAATGAAATTTAATGTGTCTATCTGCACACCTCATCTATCTGCCTAACTCATTTTAGTGAAGTAAATCTATCCCATACAGTTAAGTTTAAAAATACCAATCAATAATAAGCTCATTATTCATTTCACTTCTCTACTAATACAAGTGTGGACTATTGTTGTATGCATGTTACATTATTATGCAACTTTACACACAGTGTATCATTGACCTGTCGCAATATCTATATATGTATATGTGCCTAACCTCATTATAGTGCATATGCGTAGGTGTGTATTTTTGGTGTGTATTTGTTTTCAGTTTATGACAAGCAAACAATTTATGATTTCGAACTTAGGTAGTGATTAGTTCAGTCACTTATCTGCCGAAAACAATGGTTGGTTCACATATCAGCTTATTGGGATGACAGTGATCATTGTAAGACGAGTTTCATTTGTATTTATCGAGTAAGCTGCGTTAAGATTTCTCCCCCTCCCTCTCTTATCTGTATATATATAATGCAAAAATAAGAGTTTTGCGTTTTATCAGTGACAATTAATTGACATATTTGTATTCAGAATAAACTGACGACGACACAAAACCATAAATCCATAGCAAATTATCTGAAGTGAGGTAAAAACACCGAATACCGATATCAATTGTAATATTGAACAACCAAGACGATTAGAGAAGGAAACAGAAAACAATCTATGTATATTACATAAATCATGTTCAGCTTATGCATTAGATTATTTCAAATATATTTGACAATAGGGATTTTCATCACTTTGAACAAACAGAAATTAATACAAGGTATGTATAGTTTTGATTGTATATATCTGTACTTTATGGTTCACTTATTAGACATTAAACATTAGTGTTGTTATTTGTGTACCCATCGAACAAGTGACTGTCATGATTCCATAACCTATTGGATAACTCTCTGACATTTGGAGCCATCGGTCCAGAGTTTGAGGCTTAGTGGGAACAATATAGCTCACTAGGGGGCACGCATATCCAGCTGACGAGACCCAAGTAGGACGAAGCGCGCATCTTGGATTCCACTGCTAACCACTATCTATCATCAGTATTAAACACCCAGTTTATGTGTCTTACGTAAACTATGCGGGTAAAATTTATATACCGGCGAAATTTCAGCTGGCTCAGAGAAACTCTGTGATATGAATAATAGATTGTATTGACTAAGTTACCCAATAAATAATAAACTCTATTGCTTCTTGTTATAACAGATAAATATCCGTAATCATTATTTAACTCAGTGTTCAATTTCTATTGCCCCTTTTTTAAAAACCTTCTGCTTAAATTGCCGTATGCCTCATCGCAGTACCAACTTATATGTAAGAATGAAACTTCCTCACAGTTGTACAGTATAATTTTGTGTCCCATTGTTGATTTGGTATAGCATACACTGCTACGTTTTATTTTAGTCTGCTTTGTAGGTGTCATACTGAAATTAGCTAGACAGTGTTTCAGACATGATTTATTGTCCACGTTCATACTAGATAACTCCACAACTTTGAAACATGGTTTATATAGTTCTAATTTTCTCTTCTTTGTGATGACAAGGATAGTAGAATTTTCTTTATATCTGGAACAGGTGCAGAACCATTTCCATTGCATGTATTACCTGTTGATTCGATCAGTAAAGATTCGGTTATCAATCTTTCCCTACATACAACTAAGTTCGTTTCTAATGCTGTCGCTCTATCCAACCTTATTGTGTGATTGTGTCTGATAGCATGCACAGCAACAGCTAAGCTGTTTTCTAAATTTCTTGTCTTATTAGGATTTGCTAATCTTGATTCGGATTTGGATGAGAGGTCCTGACTGGGCAGCCAGTGTGAGTACGAATAAGCCATAGTAACGCGTTACAAATTCACGTGGTAGTCGGGTAAAACCCACGGTGACTGAAGTGAAACAAAAATCTGGTCGGCAGTCAGACCTCGCAGCTCAGTTGGTAGAGCACCGGGTCGGAAACCCGGTAGTCGGTGGTTCGAATCCGGCCAGAGTCTAAATTTTCATTTCACCTTCAATCACTACCCACGACAAATACTAATCTGCCGAAGCACGGCTATCTCAGATAGTCAAAAGGATGGTCTTGATTTAGCTCAGTATTTTCACTCTATTATTCAAAATGACCCTGGTCAACTACTTTGAACTACCTATGTATTTAACCTCACAATCATTGCAGGAGATTTGGTAAACAAAACTATTTTGCCTAGTTGGATCTATAGGATCTTTTAACCTACAAAGTCCGTTTTAAAGACAGTTTTTAGGTTTTAATGCTACTCTAATCCTACCCTCATTGAAAATTCTTCATAAGAATTCTGAGCTGCCTTCTTTATACGGTGATACAAGGGAGTTTCTGAATTCCCCCTAAATCTTGTCACTATTATTACTACCACTATTATCAGTATGATTGCTACCATAAATATTATTATCAACACCTATGTTACTTTTGCTGCTCATTGTTATAATTTAGTTGGTGGCAACCAGCAGTACAATCTAGGACGTACGTTTTGTCCTTTTTGAGACTCGCCAACATCAAGTAGATTATAACAATGAATATTTAGGGTATATCAGAGCATCAGAATATCAACACATATCCCAACCGAGGTTGACCATTTTCATCCAACATGATAACGAGAAATTGGAAGTATCAAGAAATAATAATTACTACTCATATTCTTTCTATGGAATCTTACAGATTGGTTGATAAATTTGTGAGTAATTACTGAGACGCCAGGTATTCTTAATATGCATAATTTCCTGTAACAGATTTTCTGTTCTGCCAATAAGCCGTATCGACCGGTTACCTAAAAACTTCGTTATTATTTGTCCCTTGAGTTCCTAGAGGAACATAGGGATTCAGTAGCCTATCACCACTTCACTCTCTTCTCTACAGTCTCTTCAACCTCACTCCACCAATCCACACAACCTTTCATTTCCTCCTCACACCATCTCCTCCATATCACCTTCCGATGCCCAACTAGTCATTTCCCATTTGGGTTACACTCAAGGGCCTCGCCTAGTGATGTGATGATGTCTCCAAATGACCTTCTTAGTGTACGTCCAATTCAATCCATCTCCACTTCCTTCCACTGCATATTTGTTGGGCGATAGCTTCTTGCTTCGTTGGTTCGTTGCCAGGCAGCCAACCAGCCAGAGTTCCTCCTTGCTCATTCTTATCATTCTGGCCATCCGATTTCCATCTTCACTATCGAGTGAACTGAGCGTAGGTGGCAGCTGTTGATGAGTGTCTGTAGTTTGTTGGAAGTGCTTTTCGTGACGTGCCAACTCTCTCAACCATCACATAGAAGCACCGACTTGGCTGGTGAATTAGTGTTGAAAATCCGGATCTTGTTCACACTTTATCCTGAGTGTAGTAGATCTCCACACTGATCTCAGATTAATGAAAGCCTGTCTTGCTGCCTTTCCGAGCCTGACTTTCACATCCTCATCTGTGTCGCCACTGCCTGTAGTTGAAACGATGCTACCCTGTCTAGGTAGGTGAAAGAGACAACTTCGTTTAGATTTCTCCTGTTCATGGTGATTGATGCTTGTTATCGTTGTTGTTCGGGTATCTTCATCACCTCTATCTTCTCCACGTTCACTTGAAGTTCTGTCTTCGCTGCTCTGCCTCTTCTGTCAACTTGTTAGTTTTCGCTTGTAGATCTTCGATTTTGTGCGATAAGACATTAGACATGAAGCGTCATGGTCGAAATCTAAATCTTCTTCTCGGGTCTTTTCATCGGTCCAGCGTATGCCAAGCCTAATTTAACTGAAATAGGTTAAGATGACTTAAATTCTTAATATTGATTAAAGTGCAAAGCTTTGCTTTAGTAACTTACTTCTAGGTTTCCATCTTGCTTTCGCTTTATTCTGCCATCCAACATAGACCCACATTATTGAGTCTACACTTAATACACATAAGAATGATTCAGTAGTTATTCCACGTATATGGGATATCCTACCACCCTTCGCTCAAAGATGGAGCAAGAATTAGGATTATATAAATCACTTCTCAAAGTTGTGGAGTTACCTGATGTGAATATGGACGGTAAATTATGTTCGAAGCGTTACCCAGTGGATAACGCTGTTTCACTTTGTGACGCATCTTATACTCAGAATAAAATGGGATAAAAATATTTCACAGTGTCCAAGATTTACTGCTATAGAGAAAAGAAGAGATAATTCAGTAGATAAAATTTTATTCCTCGACGATATTACTTTCTAAAGCTGTATAATCGTTTTTGTATCTATCATAAACATACAGCAGTCCATTATTAAACAATAGCGTATGATAGCATCATTAAGCCAGCCAGGATCAAGAATGGAAATTAGTTGCACAATAATAGTTTAGACAGTGAAAATAACGAGGAAGGCATGGAATTTGACAAGGTAAAAGTTGTTATTTGGTGAGAAATGCGAATATTGAGTATCCACTTGATAGATAGACAGAAATAGGGAAAGTTAAGAATGAGACAAGAGTCATAATGAAGGTGATAATAAAGTAACTAATTATAATGAAATCGAAAAAATTGTGGTGTTAAGACCATGGTAAGATAAGAGATTCAACATACTTCTTTTGAACTCAGAGATCGGGTTTGAATTGATGAATTGCTAGTGCTTCTGCTGTACACAACTGTCGAAGGCCTGCTCTTATTGTATTATTTCTGTTGACCCCATGAATGACACTGAAAGAGGACTATGGTCGGGCTATGTGTCCAGAGTTAACCAAATGTCCAAGAAATAAACTGTTAATTGATTTACACTCTCCCTCCGACAACCATGAGGGATAGTGCTCAAAGCTACGTTTGGAAAAAGCGTGCTTAGTGCAGCTTATATAACTAGTTCTACAGGAGCAAGTAAATTTGTAAACACACATTGGGGTGGCCCAAAGTGGCAACTTGTCCTTAACGCACTCTGGAACCAGTTGTTGACTAGAGAAACTGATTTGTAGCTTCACAGAGAAGAATGTCTTCTTTGGCGATCTGGACATCCGGGTTCTTCAGGATTTCCGCTGCCATACCGCCTTTGAAACTGGCGTTCATGAACAAGGTGTTATTTGGGACTATGAGTACCTTCGTCATGTTATGTTTTAATCTTAAATTCTTCTCAGTAAGTCTGAACGGGTAACCATTTTGCATGAAAATCTTCCGTAGTTTGTTTAATTCATCGTCATCATCGTAGACGATATATTAAAATACGATTCTACAGCTTCAGAAAATGATATCGTCGAAAATAATATTTTCCCCGCTGAATTATCTCTTTTTTTGTCTGTGGTTTGATGAGCGTGTTTGATCGTCTAATTGTTAACATGATGCTTCTGCTTAGCTTGTCATGCAGTTAGATAGACAGAGACTTAAAAGTTAGACCAAGTAATCATAAGATGGTTTATATTTTATCACCCTATCGCACTTGTCAAATTTCTGTACACTGTTACCATTACTACGACTAATATTATGATCCTAGCTTTAATTAATAAACAAGGATTCGAAGTTGTTCATCCGTAGGTGAACATAGTTCTATACATGTTTGCAGTCCTAAGACTGATCTCTTGTCATCTTGTTTCGAAATCGTTTTTGGTCGAGAAAATATATGTATATAGTATATTCCGTTCCTCAGGAATCCAACAAATATAATAGATCACTGTGATAAAATATCCCTAAAATGATATTCTTTTTGACAAACATGTTGTCAGATTCCCTGTAGTAATATGAACAAACATTTTTTCTGTGGACTACTACTTCACATATTTTGTTAGCATATTTTAAAACTTCAAATAATCT